CAAGCATGCACCAGTTTCTGAACCAGATCTGAACCCAAAACAAGGTGTTGCCTGTGATTTAGGAAGGCCGTCATGCTTCAGGGCCCATATCTAAGGGCTCTCTGCTGGGAGAGCTCAAAGGCACTGAGCAGCAGCAGCTGCCCAAGGCCGTGTGTGGAGAGGCCCTCGATACAGCAACCAGCAGGACTGAGACCATGCAGGAGCTCTATTAGTCTCCTGTTACTCACGGAGATCCTTGGGGAAATGCTTTATTTAGTCAGGTGGTTCTGAAAGGCACTGAAACATCCAGCCAGGCTTTGCTGCATGTGTAGCACGTGCCTGGGAGGCGCGTGCTCTGTTCTTTTGGGCATGGCTGAGCCCATGACAATGCTTTAGCCTCAGAGGGGACATGAGGAGCTGCACTGTCCCGAGGACCTGCCATCTCGGGTCTACGCACATCCAAAATCCCTCGTACCAGTGAACCAGGAGCAGAGAGCGAGCAGAAGAGTGCAAGGGGGGAAAAGCCTTCTGCAGCTCAGTGATTGCTCCCCATCTGCAGGAGCTCAAGGCAAGAAGGAAACAAGATTTTGCTCCTCTGTGAACCTAAGGAAGTGTGATTTTCTGAAGGTGGTGAGAAGCAGTTTCAGACAGCTCTAATTAGCAGGGCAGCATGTGAGAAAATCCAACTTTCTTGCTCCCAGCTCCACAGCTGTCCTGGGATAAAGGCAGAGCCCCACTGCAGCCTGCACCCCTCCCATGCACCTGCCTGGCTGCAGCACGTGGGATGAATTGCAGAAGAGCAGAGAGGGTGTTTTTGCATGAGCTGCTTGCCGATAATTTGCCAGCACTGGTTCAGGCAGCAACACCTACACCATAATCCAGAGGGCTGTATTTTCCCGCGGGCATTTAAAATCAGTCCTCCCTCCTGTCCTCATAGCCCAGCTCCAGCAGTCAGCATATTCCCTGCCAGCAGCACACAGTGCCCGAGTGCAGTGCCGCAGCCCCAGCACTGTCCTGCCTCAGAACCCAGTGCTCAGGGTCTCATCTCACACACAGCACCTGCTGCTGCAACAACAGGTTTGCCTGCAAATCCTCCCAGGGATCTGCCCCCACCAGATTACTGCTCAGCCTAAGCCACCTAATCCTACAGCACATTGTGCACTTCTCCTGGAACACTACAGTGAGGTGCTCCAGCAGAGGTACCAGAACTTAGTCTACTTTGCAGCTTGCTGCATGTGGAAGCAGAGAGACATCTGTTCCCCTGTGAAACCAGAAGTCAGGGGCCAAAGATGTTACATCCCCACTAGCAAGGGCTCCTCCTCTATATGGGATATTTTCTTTGCACAGTTCATGTTCGCAGAAGTTCATGTCCAGGAAAAGGCAAATGGTGGCACAAGAGACTCTTGAGGACCAGAAGGATGAGGACCACAACCTCCCTTGCACACCAAAGTCAGCATGGTCCTAGCACGGATGTTGTGCTGCACGGCCATGCACTGGAAGAAGCACTGTGCCTTGCAGCTACATCTTCCTCCTCGATCTGTGCATGTAGGCGCAGAGGAAATAAGAGACCATCCAAAATTAAGGAGCTAAAAGATGTGAAGAAAAGAGACAGGAGGAGAAGTGATAACAGGAATCATTACATAAGAGCATGAAAAACACAATAACACTGCCAGTGCAGGAGAGGTTTTAAGATGCCCATGAGGGTGGTGAGACCCAAGCCGTTCCCCATGTGCCAGGGAGCACAAACACTCCTTCATCTACAGATCTGCAGAGGGGCAGAGGCTGCAGACCTCTGGATTTCACAAGCAGGGAAGCTCCAGCCTCTGAAGTGCCCAGTACTGGGCCCAGCAGTTCCCCTTCCCAGACCTCAGCACGGTATGGGCAGTATGACACCGTCCAGCTGAGACCCCCCCCAAGTGACTCCCGGAACTTGGCACACATTTTCCCTCTCCACCTCCTGCACCCCAAGCAGTGCCCCCCTCACCTTCGGACTCCCTTATTATCCTGCAGGGCTTCACCCATCCCTGCAGCATGCTGTGCAGGCAACAGCCTGGCCCTGGGAGCGAGCCATGGATGCTCTGACTGCAGGCCTGACCCTGCGGCACACGCGGGTCCTCAGCAGGCAGGAGAGCAGAGGACACACAGCATCCCAGCCCATGAGAAGGGAATGAATCACTGAAAACAGAGCCAGGCACAGAGCCAGGAGGAAGATGACAGCCCTGCGAGGCCTCCATCTTTAGGAGTGGGGGCTCGTGGTCAGAGCAGCACGGCCCAGCCCACCCTCTGCCCCATGGTGTTCTTGCAGCCCGCCGTCCCTCGCAGGTCCCTGTGCCGGGACACGGCTCTTTGTCCAGCCCTGGAGCTGTCTGCCCCCATCTGCAGCGAGGATGGGAATCAGCCCCGTGCCTCTTTGGATCCCTGCCCCACTGGAACCCAAGGAGCAAGAAAGCAGACCGTGCCCTGGTTTCCCAGTCTGTGCACCTTTCAGCTAAGATGCCACAAATCAGAAGATCCTGCCAGGAATGTCACCTTCAGAACCTGCCTCCCAGTGCCCCGGCTGAACCTTCATGCTGCAGGAACCACAAGTTCAGTGCGCTGAGGCTCCCATCTAAGCCTCATCACTTAACAAACCACAGCTATGACAGCTCCCAACCACCAGCTTTTTTTTTTTTTTCCTTTTGCATCTGCCATACAGCTCCGCTGAGGCAGCACTGCTGACAACCTGCAGCATCCCTCAGCCCGTCGGAAACACAAAAACAAAGCATCAGCTCCAGGAGGGTGTCACGGGCAGAACGACATCCCCTCACTTGTTGTTACATCAGCCCACACGTTAGCGCTTTGGGCCTCATCCAGAAAGCCACAGAGCAGCCTCCGTTCCTCTTAAAGTCATACCCCGCTGCTCAGAGATACGCAAGTTTGCAATCCTTCCTGCTCAAAAAAAAAAAAAAAAAAAAAAAAAGCCATAGACCTTCTGCTATGCTTTCACCTCGTGCCAAAACCAAAATCTCAATAAATTTCTCTCCTTCTCTTGCTTTTAACTCCATATTTCACCAAATCTTCGATGTCCACGATGGCCCACATACAGAGGTACATGAGATCAGTGCATCCTGAATTAGTTTTCTGACATGCAGTGCTAGCCCATTTTTTCAACAACGTATTATGGCAAGCCAGGTTTCACATTCTTTGTGATAACTAGAAAAAGAGACAGGTCCAGCCTTCAAAACACAGGGTCTGCTGTCAGCCATGGCCAAGTACTGCCCCAGGGACACCGATGTGAGAACACAACAACAACAACACCACGCGCATATGTTCATTACAGAGCTAAGCATAACTACCGTGGCACATTGCCTCTAAGAAGGCAAAAGGCCAGTTAACCTGATGAGCAAGCACAGCGTTCTGTCATTGAGCACAGAACCTGGGGACAGGCCCTTACAGCCCCGCAGGCCACCAAACACGAAAGACACGGGTTTGCTGCAGGCAGCACGGCGTGCCTCCGGGAGCTGCAGGTAACCCAGCCCTGCCCGGGTTGGTGACACAGGATCTGGGCACCGGAGCTTAAGGAAGGACCGGCCTCGCGTTTTTGTAAGCTCAGATCCCAACGCTGAGAAAATGCAGTCATTGTCTGCGGCCGGTCCCCCCCAACCCATCGCACCGCCAGAGGACAGCGGGGAAAGCCAGGCACAAAAGGAGGAACGCTCGCAGGCGCTCCTCCGTCGAAACCATTTCATAACGGCACTCACAAAGGTGATGAAGGAGCGCTGCACGGCACACACAAAGCACAGAGCAGGTACGTTAAAGGCGCAAATCAAAACGCGCAAAACGAACAAAAGAAAAACGACTTCGGAAAACGAGACCCTCCTTTTGAAGGAGGCCAAACTTCCCGGCGCACCTGCGAAGGCAGCACCGCCGCAGGCCCCGCTCGGGGCTCGGCCCCGCTCCGCACCGGGCAGCGCGGAGCGGGGCGCCGCCGCATCCCGCGCAGCGCCCGGGGCCGGGCCCGGCGACGACAGCGCAGCCCCCCGCTCGGGCGGGGCCCGTCCCACAGCCCGGCCGCGAACCCCGCCGCCCCGCCGCCCCCGTACCGCAGTCCGCGCAGAGGATCCGCGCCACGTCCCGCTTGAAGTTCTTGCCGCTGGTGTCGAGCGGGGCGAAGGCGGTGCGGAAGACGAGCGGCTCCTCCGTGGGCTCCAGGAAGAAGATGTAGCGGTGGTTGCGCTTCACTTTGAAGCAGGGCGCCTTGGAGCCCACGCTGATGAGCTGCTCCCGCTGCAGCCCGCCGCTGTTGAGGGGCCACAGGTCCAGCACTTTCACCAAGACCCCCCCGGCGGGGCCGGAGGCGCCGCGGCTGTCATTGCCGCCGCCTGCGGGGGGGGCCACGGACTGCACCTTGCCCTCCAGCACCACGGCCGCCGTGTACGCCTGGTCCTGCACCGACTTGAGGCTGGGCGAGTAGCAGGCGAGCGAGACGCCGAAGAGCAGCATGGAGAAGCCGGGCGCCGGGTCGCGCCTCATGCCGCCGGCTGCCGCTCGCTCCCGCCGGCCCTGCGGCGGCGGCGGCCGGGCTGCGGGGCTGCGGCGCGGCGGGCGGGCGGGCGGGCGGGCGGGCGCGGCGGGGCGGAGCGGCGCGGCGCGGCGCGGACCCTCCTCCCGGCGCGGCGCCCCCAGACGCGGAGCGGAGCCGCAGCCGCGCCGCCGCGACCCCGCCGTGCGCCCGCCGCCGCCGGCCGGGAAGGACGAGGGCGAGGCGGCCGGCCCAGCTCCGAGCGAGGGAGGCGGGGAGCCCTCGCGGGATGCTGCAGAGGTAACCCCCCCTCCTCCCGGGATGCTCCCGGAGCCCCCCCGCCCCTCGGTATGCGGCTTCCACCGGGCTGCTCCGGCGGCCGAATGCCCCCTCCGCCCCGCGAGCGGCGATCCTCAGCGCGGAAGGCCCCTGCCACCCCTCCCCAATGCTCTCGCGGCCGGAACCCACCCCCCACGGCGTGCTCCCGCTACCGGCCCTCGCCCCCTTCTCCCTCTGGGTGTTCTTACGGCTTCCCCCTACTCCTCCCCTCCCCGGGATGCCCCTGCAGTTCCCCCGCCCCGGCTGCTCCCGCAGTCTGCAGCCCCCGCAGGGATGCGCTCACGGCCGGTCCCCGCTCGCCGGTTAGCACCGCATCTCGGGGGCGCCGGACAGCGGGACCCCACCTCGATTCCCTGCCCTTGACGGAGGAGATGCCGGAGAGTCCCCCGGGGATGCCCTGTGCAGCAGAGGGGATCCCTCCTCTCTGGCCTTCCCGTGCTCCTGCAGAGCCGGGGGGGTCCCCGGGGACTCAGCCCGATCAGACATGGAGCGAACTCCTCCCGAACCCCTAGGTATTCGCAGCCCCCCGGCCCGGTGCCGACAAAGATGCACTCATTTGGGGGCTGCTGCAGGTGGTATGGGCTTCCCTGATGCGCAGAACCCTCCGTGCCTGATGCTTTTGAAGGTGGCAGTTTTGTGTCTGAGGTTCCCTGCACACCTGAAGAAAAAAGCATTAAAGTACCGTCAAATGGAGTAAGGTAATGGCCGAGGAGACAAAGCCTCCTTTCATGCCCTGATCCTTTCTGTCTCTTTTTAATAAACAAGTGCTCTTCCCCTGCAGTGGTTTCCAGGAGGAGTCAGTTTAATCTCCAAAAAAGTGGCTTATTCGGGTTTATTTTCAAAGCTGATCCTAAAGTATCTGCACTCCCAAAGCCTTGCTGCCCACCCCCTGTAATATGGAAGGGATCTGAGATAATTAATTAGCTGCAGAGGATTTCATATTTGTTGTCACACTGGATTCTGCGCTGAGCAAGAGCCGCCATGGTGCCACCTCACTGGAGGTGGCTCAGAGGCAGCGTTCAGCCCTGTGCAAGGACACACAGCCATGCCCACACCGCAGTGGTGACCAAGGGAAAGGGACAGCCCCACCCCAGAGCTTCACCACCTCAGGTAAACCCCCAAAGTGGTGAGGCAGGCCTTGGAGCCAGCAGGCAGAGCGGGAGAGCAGATGGTAGGATCAGGGTTTGCTCTCCATATCACATAATGCAGCCAGAATCATTAGGGAAAAAATGGAAAGAGAGTGGGGATGCTGCACTCAGGCACAGGGCGCAGCAGGGTTCAGGGAGCATTCCTTGTGTGCATTTTGGACACACGGACAGCACAAAGCTGGAGGGCCAGGGAGGCACCGACTAGGACATGGCCAGTGGATGGCTCTGCATGCCTGGAGAAGAACACAGGTGGAGGGAGAGAAGGGCAGAAGTGCTTCTCATGGCAGAGAGGACAGGATGCTTCAGGAGGTCACCTGGCTTCTCTCTGCTTTTGACACACATCTCTGTGGAAATGCCCCATACCGTAATGCTTTGTCCAGACAGCAGCACGGCCCCTGCCTGTGGGAGTAGGAAATACCAGATGCAATTGTTTGATCCAGACCCCACTCTGCCCTGCACCTCATGGAAGAGATGGTTGAATGCCCAGGCATTTGATCCCCGTCTCTTTCTTCTTCACTGGCTGTAATCCCAATGGGACCACAGTGGTTCTACAGATGAAGGAAGTTCAGCACAAGAGACCTGTGAGGCCTATGGGGCAGTTTTTAAAAGTGAGGTTTTTCTGCATCTGGGGCATTTTGGAGACTGGGACATACGGCTTTATGAAAAGGCACTGCACATGCATCCTTTCAGTAGTATTTTTCCTGGTTGTTGTGAAGACGACCAGCCACCATCTCCAGAGATGCTTGCCATTCTGTTATCATTTGAGAAACAATTTAGGATTAAATTCTTTCCTCGCTTCTTCTGGAAAATCATGCTCTTCTAGAAATCCTCAGGCATTTTGACTTATGACATGAATAAGGCAAGGCCTTGGGTGTAGGCACCAACACAATCTCAACTGTGGTTCTGACAGGATGAAGCCTGAATAATACTCCCATCCCTGTTTTTCTCTGTCTGCATCACCAGCTATCACATCTTGGTGCCCTCTTCGGCTCCTCATTTTGTCTCAGAGGCAGATTTCTCCAGCTTCATCACCACGGTTGTTAGCTGTCATCATCTCTGCTTAGTCTTAAGGCTGGCACATTTCTTTCAGATTTTCATTCTGCTTATGGTCAAAATTGTGGCTTACATAAAAATACTTGCCATCTGCCTCTCTCTACTGCAAAATCCACTGCCTCTTTCAGTAAAGAGGTTCTGTGTCTGTCATCAACCAGCGCCCAGACTTTTCTGCTCCACCTCAGTGCAACTGCTCTTTAAAGTTTGTGTCTCTGACTCATCCAGACCCATTCTTTTCTGTTTTGTTTTTTTTGTGGGGTTTTTTTTTTTCCTTCATCTTTCCTATTTTCCCTTTGTCAGCCAGAAAAATCCGTTTGTTCTTCATTCAGGCACAAACTGGGATCCCCCATGAAGAGCCACAGTTTCAGAACACAACTGTTTCATCCTCCCAGCTGCTTTAATTTCATCAAAGCCCATCTGTCCCCTACCTTGCTGCTGCAAAACCCCCATCATGTTTGCTACCCTAAAAGACAGAGGGAACATCTGAGCTCAGCACAGGTTCCACCTCTCCTGCCACATCCCAAACCCTGCTACTTCTCAGGGATGTCTGCAGAGCAAAGCACTGCCCTGGGCTCTGTCCCACTCTGCAAAAGGAGCTTCTGGCACAAAGATCCCAGCTCAGTGACAGATGCCACAGAACACAGCATCCCAAGGGCAAAATCCTTCCCTGTCTCAGGGAACCCTGCAGATCCTCTGCCAGATGTTGACCCCAACAGCATAGGCAGGCGGTTTGCATATCCTCAACATCTTACACATTAATTGAAATTAATTGTTAATTGTTCCAGCAGATCCACTGTGCATAAATCCTGTCAAAGACAGGGGGCTTTTGGTGGAATGAGGAACAGACCATGGAAGGCTCTTCCACTCCACGCCTCTCTGTGTGAGCTGGTGTTGGCCTGCACAGGGCTGTGCTCAGCTCTTTCCTGCTTCAGGCAAGCCTCAGAAGATGCATGCATTGCAAGCATGTCCCTCCTTCTCCCCACCCTTCTCCCAGCACAAGGTCTGTCCAAGTCCCCTCTATTTACCCTATAGCTCTGATGGTGAAAAGGCAGCAGGCTCTGGAGACACTCACCCACACCCCAGCCCCTTAAGGGAACAGCTTTCTCCCCTTTAACAGTCAGATGTTTTACAGAGGCTTGGAAACATGCCTGAACACCAAATCCATTGGTGTCCATTTTTTTCGCACCTCAAGCTCTCCTTTGCAAGAATTCAGCCTACTCATCCTGAGACAGTCATGAAATCCATGGTAGAAAGACTTACTTCTCTCTCGGCACATAGCTAGCAATCAAAGGGAGAAAGACCCTACAAAAGTGAAGAACTAGCCAGTTTCTTGCTCATGATAGAAAAGCTATCAGGATTACCTCCAGCCCTTTTATGGCATATTAACCTAGGAGCAAAGAAGAAAAAAGACACACATCTTTCAAGGAAATGTGTGCCTCTTTTATCTGCTGCCCTCCCCAGGAAACTCATTCTCTCCTTGTCCACCCACATAAGCAGAAATGATGAATGGAAATAAAATATAAAGTTTAGCCATTCTCTTTAATCCTAGACTTCCCAATCGGATGATTTGGTCCATGCCTTGGTATCCAAATTTTGCACGGCAGTCATTCTGACCATTGTCCATGTGGCCTTGGCTCACAGTGCCTTTCAAATGCCTTTGTGTGTTAGATGCATACACCATACCCAAAGCATTTAGCAGCAGCCCAGCCTTGAAGGGTTTCACACTCCTCAAGGCAGAGGGGAGCCTGCCACAGAAAAGCCACTGCCACATCACTTCTCCCACACTGGAGTGCATTTTTTGGCTGTTTCTGCAGCCCCCAGCCTCCAGGCCATCAGCCACAAGTATCAGTGCAAGAGCCTGCTCCATCCCAGAGATTCCCAAGGACTGGATCTCCCTCTGGCTGCCCTGACTGTTCTCACTTTCCTTTTCTCTGCAGACCCCCCTTACACTCACCTCAGTGTTAAACAACTGTTGCAGTTAGGCCAGTACATCAGGTACGTCTGCACACCTCTGAGTTCCCAAGGCCTGTGGCAAACCAAGCTGTGTCATGGCTCCTTTGGCCTGGGAATCCTAATTGGTAAGAGAAAATTGAGCCATTGCCTGTCTTTAGTTCCAGAAGGTTTTAGAAAATCCATCATCAAAGTTGAACTGAAGAATTGAAAATAGCACTTCAATTGAAAATAGCATTTCTTAAAGTCCATTTGTGTGTTCCTACATGCATCTCCTGGCCACGTCAGCCAGCATCTGAAAGAAACATAAGGAATTATTAAGAAGACAAACAATTGAAAGAAAAATCTCCAAATCACCATTAAAAGTGAGTTAAGATTTTTGTCAGAAATGCAGCTGTTCTTGTCACCTTTGTCAGAGAATGCCGCTTTTGAGCGCCAGAGCCTAGGAGCTCTGCAGCTGCCATGCAAACACAGGAAGCTGGGCTGAGGCCGGGGGTGCGGGTGAAGGGCTGGACGCCATCCAGGCAGCAGGTCTGGGTCTGAAAGAGAAGAGGGATGGCTCGCTCTGTTGCAGTGAGCTGGGGGTCGACCTTTTATCTCGTGCGACTGGTGATAGGACGAGAGGGAATGGCTTCAAGCTGCGCCAGGGGAGATTCAGGCTGGATGTTAGGAAATGCTACTTCTCTGAAAGAGTGGTCAGGCACTGGAATGGGCTGCCCAGGGAATCACCGACCCTGGGGGTGTTCAAGGAACATTTGTACGTTGTGTTGAGGGATGTGGTTTAGTAAGAACTATTGGTGATAGGTGGATGGTTGGACTGGGTGATCCTGTGAGTCTTTTCCAACCTTGGTGATTCCATGATTCTATGATTCTAAGGTTAAAGTGAAAGTGTGGTCATGAGGTGATGCTGGCGAGTTGGAAACTGAGGCCTCCACTGAAAGTCTGGTGAAAGCATTTGCATTCAAACAAGCTTCCTGTACTGCAAAATGTGTCACAGAGGTGACCTGGGCAGCTCAGAACCTCTGGCTGAGAGCAGAGGGTTGTGACCAGATTCAGGAAAATGTTTCCCCCCTCCCACTTTTACCTGTTTCGTGTATTTCCATGTAAAAATACACAGGACGCTATATACCTTGTCACATGAAGGGGAAATACAGAGAAGGACTTGAGTGCCACTGGAATAAGAGAGACAGAGAAGGATCCTGTCTGACTGTGCCTTCGATTCCCTGTTTATATGTTGTCTGCTACCGTTTAAGAGAGCACCTTTGGATGACTTCAGGTCAGGAGGTTCAGGAGACCATTTCTGCAACAAGAAGTTAATGCTGACAGGCACCCCGTGGCTGGAGAACACCCTCAACATAGCAGAATTGGCACCTTGTTTAATGGATTCATATAAATAGGAAGGCAAAGCCAGGAGCTGAGGCAGCATTTAAGCCCTGTACTGTGAGGTACAGAGGCCTTACGGCGAGATTAAATATAGGTCTCACAAACCAGAACAACAGTGTTTTTACCAAGAAGATAATCAAGCCCTGGAGGAAATTACATGATGTAAAGCTCAGATTTAAAATAAATGTGAAATGAGTTGGTGGATTTGGGACCAGTTCCTTATGGAAAAGTTTTCGCATCAGAAAAACCACTGACGACACTGGCTTTTTAATTAGCAGTTTTGGAATAAAGCCAAGAGGACTGAAGGGATGGTGGAGACTCAGTCCTCATCTTGCCCTTTGCAAGGAGGGCTGGGGGCAATGAAGGGCCGGGATTAGGAGAGGGCTGGGCTGTGCACATGCTGCATGTTGGAAGCAGGAGGCTCTGAAGATGAGACCTGGGTGTTCCCATTGCAACTCCCCATGGGCACACATTTTCCTAGGAAGATCCTGTACCTCTGAGAACAACATGGCAGCGAGTGCTGAATCAAAACGAGAAAACAACAGGCCAGGCAGGGACGCAGGCTGTGATTGCACAGAGGGAGCAGCCTGTGCAGCATTTGGCTGACGCCAAGTCAAGGAGATGGGTGTGGGATAAAGGCCCTGTCCTGAGCCAGCTGCTGCAAACATTTGCCCTGGCTGAATTGTCTGTTGCCCTTGCATGACTCTCTTTTAGTCTACTTTGTCACTAAGAATTTTTAGTGGATGACTCGAAACGGTCCCACATCCCTGCTCGCTGCACTGCTGTTGCTCTGCCAGCTCCCCAGTCCCACCTCCTCCCTGCAGGACAGGTTTCAGTGGAGCTCAGGGTTCTCGCATGCTGATGTCTCATCATGTACCTACACGTGTCCCCTGGGACCAGCCCTCTGAGGGCTATAGGCAATTGGTAACAAGTTCCAAATACAAAATCTCCCTTGTGTGACACTCGGCAAGAGAGGCTGGAGCCTAACACAGGGGCATGACACAGCCACTGTCCTCACCAAGCACTCCTGCAGCCAGTTCAAAGGATACTAATTAAAAAATAAAGACTGAGGGTTTTTTTCCTTCTCCTCCAGATTTCTTTTCTTTCTTCATATCAGATTGTAATCCTGTACTTTGTGGTTTAACTGTGTTCTTACATCTCCTTTTCCCAGTGAGTTAATGCAAATGATTTTGTGCCAAGGCGGATCTGTGCTAAGCTTGACAGCAAAACACACGGCTCAAGAGGCACATGCGCTCCCACTTCCCTCGGGAGTGATGGGTTGAATCAGCCCCCTAAACCCCTCCAAGCATCGTTTCAATTTTCTGCTCAGTTTTCATCTCCCTCCCCTCCTTGCCAAGCCCGCACAAGAGCGGTGGGAGGTTACAAACAGAGCACGCAGCTCATCTGCGGCATCTCGCCGGTGTGAGCCATGGGCGCGCGCATGCGCACACAGCACCCTCCCTCCACAGGCGCTCCACGGCTCTGCCGAGGATCCGCGCTGCGGTCGTCACGGGTCTTTCCCGGTCTGCAGCTCCCTCCTCAGCTCTGCCCTGAGCGCCTCCCGGCTGGCGCTGGGGACGCCGGCAGCAGCACACGTGTCTGAGCTGAGATTAACCCTGCAAAGCCAGGGACAAGGATTGCTATTTCCTCATCCAAAATTCATCACCTGGAAAGGCTGCCAGGCCAATTCTGCAAAACAAAGGCTTCGGTGGGAATCTCTGCTCTTTGCAGAAGCGGTGGGGTACAGAGCTCACCCCGGCTTACCTGAGCCGCCGGTGGCCGCCCTCAGCGCTTGCTCGGTCCCGTCACGAAATGGCATCACACATTCAGGTGGGGTGGCTCAGGGACACGGGGGCTGGCAGGAAGGATGAAGGAATGTCATTTCATTTCGTCTGGAGAAGGGGAGGCCGAGGGCTGAGTTAACGGCGGTCTAAACAACCACCCGGAGGGCACGGAGAGAGAACTCCTCCTCGAATATAACGGGAGACAAAGGCCCCGTCCTGCAGCTCGGCACAGTCGGCCCGACAGCCGGGAAACGCTCCTTCCGTGAGGCGGCCGGGCCCTGGAGAGGCCCCGCAGCGCCTCCGCCCGCGGGCTCAACGCGCACGAGCGCGAGGTGCGGCCTCCCCGCGAGGCGCGGCCGTGCGGGGCGGGGCGCTTCGGCCGCGGCTCCTGCTGTCCGGCGCAGAGCGCGGCCGCGTCCCGATCTCTCGGCCCGCACCGCCGCGAGCGCGGCTCGGCCCAGACCCGAGGCCTCCGCGGCGGCCCGCCCGCGCCCGCCCGTCCCCGCCAGGTGGCAGCAGCGGCCGCGTAGAGCCCCGCGCCGGCCGCAGGCCCGGCCGCTCCCGCGGGACCCTGCGGAGGGGCCACGCTGCGCCGGGAGCTCCGCCGTCGCTGAGAGCCGAGCGGGCCACTGAGAGCGCCGTCCTAATGAGAGAGAATAAAAGGAGAGAAGCGGCTCGTGCGTAAAGCCGAAGTCCCTCGCGTGCTCCCCGTGTTTGTGCGGGTGGATTTTCCCACGGTCAAAGCAGATCCGGCCCCCAGTTCTACTCGGCAGGGCCGCGCCGAGCCCCCCCGCCCTGCCGGCTCCCGGCCTGGCTCAGCAGAAGCCGGGCGCGCCGCAGCCCTCAGGCTGTGCCGGAGCGACCACGGAACCTCTCCCGTCTCGTAAAGCCTTCTGATAGGAAGGGGGTATTTCCGACATCGCGGCCCCTGACCTGCTCCGTTGGAACCTTGCAGGGTCAGAGCACCGCGTCTTCCTGCCCATACAGCCCTGCGGGATTTGCAGAGTGAAGCAGTTCATTGAATGTGGTTACTGTGAGGCCGTTTGTGTCTGCTGCACGCCTATGCTAGACTTTATCTCATCACACCAGGGCTGATCTGAGATTCCATTTTAGCTATTTTCTAAAACATTCCAGCCACCAATATACTCAGCTGTAAACCAAAAAACCAGCATGGCTTCACTAAGGGCAGGACCTGCCTGATCAACCTAATGACCTTTCACGATGCCATAACTGCATCAGCAGACAAGGGAAGAGCCACTGATGTCAACTATCCAGATTTCAGAAAGGCCTTTAGTGCTGTCCCCCACACCATCTTTTTCTACAGATTGGAAAGGTATGGATTTGATGGGTGGACTGATCGATGGATGAAGCACAAGTTGTGAGATTGGCTCCGTGTCCGGGTGGAGGCCAGGGACAAGCGGTGGCCCTTAGGGATCAGTGCTGGGACCAATGCTCTCCAGTGTCTTCATCAGTGACACAGATTGGGGTCAAATGCTCCCTGAGCCGTCTGCAGGTGACACCAAGCTGTGAAGGGACACACCGAGGGACAGGATGCCATTCAGAGAGACCCAGACTGAGCAGTGGGCCCAGGAGAATGTCGTGAGGTTCAACAAAGCCAAGCACACAGTCTGGCACCTGGACCATGGCCACCACCGCTGTCAGTGCAAGCTGAGGGGTGATGAGATGGAGCACAGCCCTGCCAAAAAGGACTTGGGGTGCTGCTGGGTGGCAGCTGGACGTGAGCCAGCACTGTGCCCTCGTAGCCCAGAGAGCAAACCGTACCCTGGGTGCACTCAAAGCAGCACTGCCAGCAGGGTGGTGAAGGGGATCTGCTCCTCTGCGCTGTGCCATGAGACCTCACCTGGAGTGCTGCATCCGGACAGGGCGTGCTCAGCACAGGAGAGACGTGGAGCGGTTGGGGTGTGTGCAGAGGAGGGCCCAAAAATGCTCCCAGGGATGGAACAACTCCCTGTGAGGATGGGCTGAGAGAGCTGGGGCTGTGCAGATGGAGAAGGGAAGACTCTGAGAGAGCTGGGAGAAGCCTTTCAGTATGCAAAAGAAGGGAGAAAGAAGGGGACAGACTCTTTACTAGGGTCTGTTGTGGTAGGAGAAGGGAAAACCATTGCAAACTGAAAAAGGGAAGATTTAGATTGGATATAATGAAAAAGTTTTTTACAATAAGGGCAGTGAAGCACTGGCACAGGGTATCCAGAGAGGTTCATCAGTGACCTGAATGAAGGAATAGAGTTCACTCTCAGCAAGTTTGCTGATGGTACAAAGCTGGGGGGAGTGGCTGACACAGCTGAAGGCTCTGCTGCCATTCGGCAAGACCTGGACAGACTGGAGAGCTGAGCAGGGAGGAACCTGACGAGGTTTAACAAGAGCAAGTATAGAGTCTTGCACCTGGGGAGGAATTACTGCATGCATCAGTACAGGCTGGGTGATGACCTGCTGAGGTGGAGCTTTGCTGAGAAGGTTGTTCTGGTGGTGTTCTGGTGGCCAACAGGTTGGCCATGAGCCAGTAGTGAGCCCCTGTGGCCAAGAAGGCCAGTGATATTCTGGGATGCATTAAAAACAATGTGGCCAACAGGTCAAGGGAGATGATCCTCCTGCCCTATTCTGCCCTCATGAGGCTGCATTTAGACTACTGTGCTCAGTACTGGGTTCCCCAGTTCAAAATAGACAGGATCTCCTAGAAGGAGTCCAGCAGAGGGTCACAAAGATGATGACAGCCTGGAGTATCTCCATAACGAGGAAAGGCTGAGTAGCCTGGGTCTGTTATCTGGGGAAGACTGAGGAGGGATCTGGTTAATATTCATAAAAGGAGATGGGAAGCAAATGGATGAAGCCAGGCTCTTCTCGTGTAACAATAGGACAAGGAGCTCTGCCCTAAAACTTGATCATAGAGAGTTCCATACAAACATGTGGAAGAACTTCTTCGCGGTAAGGGTAACTGAGCACTGGAACAGGTTGCCCAAGAAGGCTGTGGAGTCTCCTCTCTGTGGATATTCAAGACCTGTCTGGACACCTACTTGTGTGACCAGTTGTAAGGAACCTGCTTTAGCAGGGGGTTGGACTCAATGATCTCTAGAGGTCTCTTCCAACCCCTGCAGTTCTGTGATTCTGTGATGGATGCCCCATCCCTGGAGACACCCAAGGGGTGGGACTCTGAGCATCTGATCAAGTTGCAGGTGTCTCTGTTCATGGCAGGGGAGTGGACTAGATGACCTTTAAGAGTCTGTTTCAATTCAAATAATTCTATGATCCTGTGATTCTATGAAAAAAAAACCAAACTATCCTCTGTATATGGACACACTGTGAGATGCTGAAATCACCCTACCGGTCCCTGGAGAGGGAGAAAAAAGAGTCGTGCTGTGCCACGATTGTACTTCTCATTGGCTCCTGGTGCTTCCTGGTGGCAGGATTTAGTAGGGCTATGAATTTGCTATGGATTTGCTGTGCTTAGTGGGACTGGAAGATCCAAAGCATATAATATAGCCAACAGACATTGTTGGAGCCCATGCTTGATCCAAACATGCTTGTAGTGCTTGGTGAGCAGCCAGAGCAGAGAGCTGCTGTTACCCTTATGGAACTGATGCCCAGAAGTGTTCCTCTGTGTTACACCAGTACATCCCAGCACACGCCATCCTCTCTGATGGCTCTGTACCCCAATGAGACACATGGGAATTGTTTCATAAGATTGAAGCTGTTTCCCAGCAGACAACCAATCTGCACAGACCCTGCAGCCTCTCTTGCACTGTGCGAAACAAAGCATTGGAGGTGTCAGAACCTTTACGTGTTTTTTGCCACAGCATCTTGTGGAGACAAGTAAAGGAATGCTGCCTCTGTAGCTTATGGCCCGGGAGAGTCTAAATGTTACATTTCTTTAGGAAGATCCCAAAACTGGGGCAACATCCTCAAGCTTTTACCCTCTGCTGTGCCATGGTGAGTGGACATCCCAGGTTTCCAAAACCTAGCCTGGTCTCAGAGAGACCTGCCACCTCCCGGGGTCACAGCAGTGCTGCAGGAGGACATCCCAAAAGTGGATCTGAAAGAGACGAAGGCAAGCATTACATAATTAATAAATAAAAGGAACTATGTTAAAAAATTGAAGGGACTGTCATTTTCTTCCTACAGTGCAGTGTAACTTAATGCATCCCATGGGAAGCAACTTGTTCACAAGGAAAGGAGGACTTTTCTGTGCCCGTGCTGGCACACAGAACTGCCGCACTCAGCACAGGAACTGAGCCTCTTGTCACCCCAGGGATTGCACGTATCAAGCCCTTGTGAATCAGAAGTGATCTTGCTACACTTGGGCAACCCCCCCTTGTCATGGCCCCTTTTCTTCTTGGTAAAGCCTCAAATGAGAAGCCATGAGAAGCCAAGAGCCAAATGAGTTGGCTCTTCTCTTTCTGCAAGCCCAGAGATAGCTTGTAAATGGTGGTATTGCATCTAGCTCCCAGCAGCGGCAGTCACTCACCTTCTTGTAGGAGGACTGCAGAGCTGAATGCTGGCCTATATTTCCATCTGTCAACAAGGCTGGTGAGTACTGCAGCCTCTTCTTCTCTGGCAGCTGTGGTTTCTACCAGGAAAGGCCGTGGAGCATCCTCCAGAAAGGCTTTGCTTACCACCATGCCCAGTCACTGTGAGCAAGCAAAAATGAGATACCTTCATTGGTTACATCAATAGTTCAGAAGTCACAACCTATAAATTCTTTTGTGCCAAAGCTCTCATGCTCTCCAAGTAGCCTGCCAGGCATAAGGGCAACTGCTCAATGAGGTTTGTTTGTAGTCAACCAAGTGCTTGCATTTCAGGGGATCCCACCAAATTCCTCTCCTGGTGGTTGTCGAACAGTCAGAGCTTCATCAACGCTGTGTGGAGCAGCATGCCCTGCATGAGTTCCCACTCAGCCTGGAGTCTTGCAGGCTTCCCACAGGTCCATATCCACCTCAGAGCCCAGACTTGTGGAGAAGCTCATGGAACACACCATGTAGCTTAGAGAGCAAGATCAAGCCCAGGGCCAGTGTCAGATCCAGTGCCAGGAGCTGCAGCAAGTCTTCCTGCATGGCAGCTTAACACAAAAAACATAGAAAATGTTGGGCAGTGATGCTCAGAAATGCCAATAGGCTGCTTTAGCTCCTAGTCCCTGTTGTGTCTCTGTTTCCTGCTGCCTTAACCAGGGGCCGGCACCTCCGTGGCCATGGCCTGGCATTGCTCTGGGGAAGCCTCTCACAAAGCAATTGGAAGAACAAACGTGTGACTTAGGCACGTACCCTGCAGGGCTGTTACTCTCTGCTAGGAGCAGAGCCTGATCCACACCCCAAGCTAGGGCCATCTGCCCTCTCTGATGATGCAGAAAGCAGGTATTGAGTCTCATCTCCGGGAAGGGAATACTAGGAAAACAAGAGATGCTAACTCCTGGAATTGTGGGACCATGAGTCTGGGAGACAGGACGACATCCTGCTTCCAGGGCACAAGGGAAGAGCTGCCATCTGCGAGGATGGTCCCTGAGCTTCCCAGCTCTGCTCTGCCAGCGCTGTGCTCGTCCCCGTGGCTCTCCTCCTCCGGCCGGAGCTGCCACGCAGCTGCCTTGCTCCCGTCTGCCCGCACCTGCAGTGCCACGCTGGCTGGCCGGGCGCCTCCGGCTGCTGTCCCCTGCAGCTCTGAGAAAATAAGCTCCTCCTTGCAGCCAGCGCTCCGCTCAGCCAGGTGTGCCCCCCGGCAGCTCGTCTGACTGTGGATCAGCCGGCAAACACCACCGGACTGTTCCGCTGGGGCAGAACCTGAAGAAGGCAGAAGGTTCCTTGGCCGGGAGCCTTTTCCTCGCCCCTCCAAGAAGGCTGCAGCCCCCGAAGGAGGCAGAGGGAAGACCTGAGAGGAAGGGACAGCACCAGGCTTGCAGGTTTGAAAGGGCTGCCAGCTCCTCCTGGTCATCCTCACCCAAACGCACTGGCTCTCTTCAGCCCCGCAGCAGCCGGTGGGCTCTGGGTTCCAATCGGGTTGCCGTTCACCTCCGCGAGGACCGAGAGGGTTCAGAAACGCCGTCAGCAGCATCAGCAGGTGGATGCAGGGTGCAGAGGATGGCAACTGCCTGAATGCAGCAAAAGGTTCCAACTTAAACAGGGACAGTTCAACAGCACCAATTACCTGCATCCAGTAAGGATTCTAAGTACTTGTCTGTTCTGATGAACTGCGCAGCTGGAGATTGCTTTGCTGTGTGAGTAGATGAGGAAACTACTTTCACAGCTATGTAAATGACAGCTCACAGAGGACAAGGAAGCAGCAGCCAGCCCTGTCCTGAGAGCCCGACAGTTGGGCGAGCAGCCTGCCTCAAGACCCACGTGCTGCTGCCCTGTCAATGCATTCCGATAATTCACACATTTTATACTAAGCGGAGCGGTGGCGATTTCATCCTCTCTGTGAAGGATTAATTGCTTTTAGACCCACTTAGCTGATCCGTAGTATCTGGCTGAAAGCACATGCTGTGGGGTTACGTTGATGCTTCTTGGCATTTTTTGAGGATGCAGTGGCCTTTAACTCCTCATGTCTTTTGTTTCAGACAGCATCCTAATCCTCATTCCCAAACCTATGGCGTCTTCTCCAGGTAACAGGGAACTCATCCCTCTTTGTCCTCCAGCACAAGGCACTGTATCCACTCCCAGCTGAGCACATCACAGCATCTCCAGGCACATCTGAGGCTTCAGATGCTGGGAGCCAGATCCTGATCCCAGTAGGGAACAACTGCTGAACAGCTGATTCCATTCCAGGCTATGGTCCAAGCAGGGATATTCTGTGCAGCTCTGCCTAAGCAGACACTACAGGAAACCTGTCCTGGTTTTGTCTGGGATGGAGTTAATTTTCTTCACAGTCTCTCTGTGAAGAGAGACTTCATAACAAATTAATTAATAATCCTGAAAAATAACCATTATATAGTCACTTTCCCCCAGACCCAGGCAGTGACCAAGCCCCACCATCAGGCCACTGGGGAGGAACTGTCATCCCTGAAACTCATCAAGGAGCCTCTGGATATGGGAGAAGAAAAAAGGGTCCAGTAGGGCCCAAGCTTCACACCACACTCAGAGACCTGTGTTCCTGCTGAAGGAACACTGCAGACAGGAAACCAAGAGGAAAGAATCTCCAAAACTTTGGTAGCTTTGGGCTGACATCTGGGTACCATCCAGATTTAAGTAGTGGAAACATTTTGGATGGTGATGGAGGGTTTGTGCAGCTCTCATCAGGTTGTCTGAATGCTGTGGAACTCTGGACCCAGCAATGCACAAAGGATGTTTCAAAGAACTGTAAAAGGTTGAGTCTGTGATTTGGGAGTTGCTGACAGCCTTACATGCTCTTTAAGGAAACAGAGCTTAAAGGAGTGAGGAAGGCATACCTGCAAGAAGGTGCAGGGCAGAGGGGCAGGAACTGGGTGTTACAGAGGACCAGAAAGCACCCCTAGTCTGAGAGGTACACTCAGACTTGGGGTCTCCAGAGCAAAGACTTTACTGCACACAGCAGGAGGCCACCACCTCCTCCTGCTCTGTGCTTTCTTTGGGAGCCTAAAGTGCCTGGATATGCTGAGGAACTCACATGGGGAATCTGGCCACCTCCTGTCTGGGGGCTGTATGTTCATGGCAAGGTTAATTCTGGCACAGAGATGGGCCGCACTTCTGTCAGGTAGGCCTGGGAAACTCAGAAGAGCTGCAGGCAATGCTTGCCAGCGCTTTCCAAAAATGGAGTCATGGCCCACAAACCCTGGCAGACTCCAAAACACAGACAGAAAAGCAAGACTGGAGAGGGTGCTAGTGGGCTTTCTGCATGGCTAACCAAGGACCAGGCTGCAGGAACAGCGCTACAGGACCACCCGGGCATTCAGACACAGCTCTGGTTACACCAGCAAGGGAGGAGAACGGGAATCTAAGAGCAGAAACCACATGACTGACATCATGCTGTAAAAGGACCAGCAGGTGTGCCAAGAGCAAGAGGCAGCCAAACTGCAGATCCAATTGTGCTTCCCCACTCAGCCAGCTGTGCATCCTGCAAATCCAGCTGTGCTGCCCAACAGATCCAGCTGTCTTTACCTACACAGTCAGCTGTGCCCTCCTGCAGATCCAGCTGTGCCATCCCACAAATCCAGTTGTGTCCTCCTGTCAGATCCAGCTGTGTTATCCAACAGATCTTCTTGTGCTTACCTACACAGACAGCTGTTCCATACCACAGATCCAGCTGTGCCATCCTGCAGATCCAGCTGTGCTGGCTTTCCAGATACTTGGCACCTTCCCAGCATGCACCACATGGGAAAAATGAAGCAAACCTGCTGGCACCACCAGGTATCAATCTGCTCCAACTAGAGGAAAACAAGCAAGCTGGATGTTACGATACATTCTCTGAGATAAATTGGGGTGAACGTAGTCTGACTTTTGGGGGCAGGTTTGCTACTACTGGCTAAGGGCACAATGAAGTTTTGGGGGTACAAAACATTTGCTAATAATAATACATTAGAGTGGGCTTTCCCTCTTACCTGAGGATGCAGTGAGCCTGGGTTTTATAAATTTTTGTTAGTGAAAATCAGCAAGATCGGAATTTGATGGCTGTTTATCCAGATATTTGCTGGAAAAGCAATGTGGCCAGGCATGCGCGGTCCAGACGGTTCCTGCAATGTGTTGAAGACAACTTCCTGATGCAGGTGGTTGAGGAATCGACGAGGAGAGGGGTACTGCTGGACCTTATTCTCACTAACAGAGAAGGGCTTGTCAGGGAAGTAAAGGTCTGGGGCAGCTTGGGTTGTAGTGACCACGAGATGGTGGAGTTCAAGGTCCTGAGTGGAAGAAGTAAAGCAAAAAGTAGGATTGCTATCCTGGACTTTAGGAGAGCCAACTTCGATCTCTTCCGGGGCCTACATGGAGCTGTCCCATGGGCTGGGGTGTTGGAAGGCAAGGGGGCCTGTGAGAGCTGGTCGGCATTTAAGCAGCTCTTCTTCCAAGCTCAGGATCGGTGCCTCCCTGTGAGGAAGAAATCGGGAAAGGGTGGCAGGAGAGCTGTGTGGATGAGCAAGGAGCTCGTGCGCAAACTCAGAGGAAAGAAGAAGGCCCATGAAATGTGGAAAAAGGGTCTGACTACTTGGGAAGAACACAGGAATGTTGTCAGGGTCTGCAGGGATGCGACAAGGAAGGCTAAAGCCTGCCTGGAATTAAATCTGGCAAAGGGGATAAAGGATAATAAAAAAGGTTTTTTCAAGTACATTAACAGTAAAAGAAAGACTAGGGAGAATGTGGCTCCCCTGCTAAGTGACGGGGGTGTTCTGGTAACGGGGGATGCTGAGAAGGCGGAGATACTGAATGCCTTCTTTGCTTCTGTCTTCAGTGAAAAAGCTGCCCCTCGGGAATCTGAGAGCCTGGAGTTGAGTGAGAGGATCTGGGGAATGGAAGACCTCCCTTCTGTCAGGGAAGAGGTGGTTCAGGAGCGCCTAGGCAACACCAATGTTCACAAATCCATGGGACCCGATGGGATTCATCCACGGGTGCTGAGGGAGCTGGCAGAGGTGATTGCTGAACCGCTTTCTGTCATCTTTGAGAAGTCTTGGAGGACGGGGGAGGTGCCTGAAGACTGGAGGATAGCCAATGTCACCCCGGTCTTCAAAATAGGCAAGAAGGAAGACCCAGGCAATTATAGGCCAGTCAGCTTCACCTCTGTCCCTGGAAAGGTGATGGAACAGCTTGTATTGGATGTCATCTCCAGACAACTGGAAGAAGAGGAGGTTATCAGGAGTAGTCAGCACGGGTTCACAAGGGGGAGGTCGTGCTTGACCAACCTGGTAGCCTTCTATGATGTTGTCTCTGGCTGGGTGGATAGGGGGAGAGCAGTGGATGTAGTCTACCTTGATTTCAGCAAGGCATTTGATACTGTCCCCCTCGACATCCTTATAACAAAGCTGAGGAAGTGTGGGATGGATGAGTGGACAGTGAGGTGGGTTGAGAGCTGGCTGACTGACAGAGCACAGAGGGTCGTCGTTGGCGGTGCAGAGTCCGGTTGGAGGCCTGTAAGCAGCGCTGTTCCTCAGGGGTCGGTGCTGGGTCCGGTCTTGTTCAACATCTTCATCAGTGACCTTGATGAGGGGATAATGGCCACCCTCAGCAAGTTTGCTGATGATACAAAGTTGGGAGGATTGGCTGACACGCCTGAAGGCCGTGCTGCCATTCAGCGAGACCTGGACAGGCTGGAGAGCTGGGCAGAAAAAAAACAGATGAGGTTTAACAAAAGCAAGTGTAGAGTCTTGCATCTGGGGAGGAATAATTGCATGCACCAGTACAGGTTGGGGGATGACCTGCTGGAGGGGAGCCCTGCGGAAAGGGACCTGGGTGTCCTGGTGGATGACAGGTCGGCCATGAGCCAGCAGTGTGCCCTTGTGGCCAAAAAGGCCAATGGCTTACTGGGGTGCATTAAAAGAGCGTGTCCAGCAGGTCGAGGGAGGTGATCCTCCCCCTCTACTCTGCCCTGGTAAGACCTCATCTGGAGTACTGTGTCCAGTTCTGGGCTCCCCAGTACAAAAAAGACAAGGATCTCTTGGAAAGAGTCCAGCGGAGGGCCACGAAGATGGTGAAGGGCCTGGAGCATCTCTCCTATGAGGAAAGGCTGAGTGATCTGGGTCTGTTCAGCCTTGAGAAAAGGAGACTGAGAGAGGACTTGATCCAGGTCTATAAATATCTGAGGTGTGGGGGGCAGAATGGCGAGGCCAGACTGTTTTCAGTGGTGAGTGGAGACAGGACAAGGGGAAACGGCTGGAAACTGCAGCATAGGAAGTTCCGCACAAATATGCGCAAGAACTTCTGTACAGTGAGGTGACGGAGCAGTGGAACAGGCTGCCCAGGGAGGTTGTGGAGTCTCCTTCTCTGGAGATGTTCAAGACCTGCCTGGATGCCGACCTGTGCGACCTGCTGTAGGGAACTGCTTTGGCAGGGGGTTGGACTCGATGATCTCTGGAGGTCCCTTCCAACCCCTACAATTCTGTGATTCTGTGATTCTGTGATTCTGTTTGTCCTTGGTTTTCAACAGAACAGCATCCATCTCTTTGGTCTCCATTACTAGTTTATTTGAGGAGCTGGGCAATCGTGCTTCCTCCTGATTCCATGAGAGCTGAGGACCAGCAAGACTCCTGCATCTCTGCAGGTGACAATGCCGTAGAGTCCTCTATGCCTAGAAAGAGAAAGTCTCCATTTGCTGGAAGCCAGCTTGCAGAGAAAAGGGCAACAGGGAGACTAACAGGCCAGCCGAGAGAAGAGAAAGCATACTGCATAATTGGAACAAGGCATTGTGAAAACAGTCCCAAGCTTAATTCTCTTGGATGGGACTTCACGTGGTGCCTTAAAGAACTGGCACTTTATCTCTGCAGACAGAAGAAGCAAGAACTTGTTCTGCCATTGTTCAGCCAATGATTCACTGTTGTTTTTTGTTGTTTTTTTTTTTCTTTCCTTCAGTTTTTGAAGAGTGAGCCATCTTCATGGGCACTGCTTTTGGATCAGAAGCAGTTGGCACATCCTCAGGCCATCAGTGCTCCTTGCCCTGCAGCAGGTGCCCGCACGGCCCCGTTCCACTCCTGGAGCTGCACTCAGACCCCCCCACAAGTGCTCACCCAAACCAGCATCAAAGGAACTGCAGTGCCTTTCCCAAGAGAAGCGGTTACAACTGGAGGGCTGTAGTTAGATGTGGCCAAGCTTTTCCATTGTTATTTTACAGTTGCTTGATGTTCTGAAAGATATTTAGAAAAATGACTTTTGCTGTCCTGTGCCAAACTGGGTGAGGGTGAAAAAAAAAGAAATTTGGCAGACATGCTATTCATTCAGCATGTAGTTTGGATGACATCCAGTGACTAACACAGGAGTTTTAACTGATCTGGGAGACTAAAAACCATTCACAAATAATTTGATTTAGGGTCACTGCAATTTCTTTTTATAAATAATTTTCATTGAGAAGTACTTTTTTAATTAGGATCGACAGACTTAATAGCAACTCTATTGTGTGCACAGCTCATCATTCCCATCTTCCTAAATGACTTACAGATGTGGTGTGCTGGTTTCTTGTTCATTGCACACGATGGGGCTTGTTCACGGGGCAAGGAAGGCTCTCGGCACACAAGCCACACTGAGCTGCTCTCCAAAGGCGTGTGCTGAGCAGGATCCATGTGGACAGCAGAGGAAGCTTTTGCCATTGTTTTGCACACTCCAGCTCCTCCACGCCTTTGCACAACTTCAGACACCCCCACACTGCTGTAATTTCTTTCTGACTGCTCCAGCTCCAAACCTGTAGCAGATGCTTTGTTGATGGCTCTCTTGCTGCAAGCCTCAGCATGGCTCAGGGGGTACTTGAGTTCTGCATAAACCAGAACATGCTGCCTGTTCCGTGGTGGGAGTGCTGGGCAAGGACTGCACCCAGGAAGAGACCTGACGTTGCAGCATGAGAGAAGAGCTTTGTTTGGTGTCATACCAAAATTAAATCACCTCCTAATCCAATGGATACTTCCACTGGGCTGAACAGAGCTGGAAAGAAGGAGGAGAATTTGGACAGTGATGGGAAGAAGAGTGGCTCTGCCGCTCAGATGTGTGTTTCTTGGCAACATCATCCGTGTGTGATGGGCTTTTCTTTGACTTGCACAATAACAATCTCATCTCAGCCACTTTCGTTACTAATCTTATCTGTTTTTTGAATGGCTCTTAGATTCCCTCCTGTGATTACAAATGTTCGTACAAGCTCTCGGAATCAGCAGAGTTGTTGTTTTGTGGCTGGATATCAGGCTTGGACTCCAAACTTGGATATGCTCACTATCCGCATCAGATATGTTCTTAAAAGCCCTCTGAATTGGATTTTGAAACAAAAGGCCCATTGATTTTAAATCTTGAGTCACAGCAGTGACACTGAGAAAACCCTTACCCCTGTCCTTCAGGGTAACCCAAACCGGTGCAATGAAGGATGGCCACAACAGTAACAGAAAGGAGAATTTGTCCAATGGGAGGAAAATTCCAAATGTTTGTCCTATTTAGACTAACAAAAGAGGCTGAAGGGAAATAATTGCTACTGAGAGACAAGTAGAAGGGGGGAAAATATGAGAAAAAGATGTGAAAGTACAAAGATAAAAGTTGCACAAAAATCAGTAACTGTGAAGTAGGCATTGGTATATTCAAGCTGGGGATTAAAAGATATCGGAAAAAGATATGGGAGCTTTGGGGCAGAAAGGCTTGGAGTGGTTCTCAGCAGAACAGAGAGAAACTCAAAGTGGAGTTTGCTAAGCATATGGGACATGTTGGTGTGACTGCAGCAGTGAGGTACAAGGCACAGAGAGAGCCACCAGAGTGCTCTGAGAACTTCTGCAACCAGCAACACAGTGAGGGTGGGCAGAGAGAGTACCCAGCAACATCCCACCTAAGGGGAAATAATGTCTGGCCGTATTCCTGGAATTCAGAGGATCCATTGAGTGTATCCACTCTGGGCATAACAAAGCTGACCCGTGTGTGAGAGCACCAGCCTCTGTTGCTGGCCCTTCTTAAGCAGCATCATTAGAATGAACAGCTCTCACCCTGCGTGGCCAGGGATGGCCACCTGCTCCCTACCAGACAGGTTTCACCAAGGGAATGCCATCCCCAGTGATATGGTTACCAGCTTTCCAGCAGCGGTTCAAGCACCACTGGGACAGCTGCTGGTATTAGGCCTCGAGTAAGGATATTCAACGCTGTTCCTTTTCGGGACAAACGAGCAAAGTGGGACAAAGATCTGCCCTGCTACAGCAGGACGGTTCTCGCTGTCCCGCGGCGACCTCGGGGCAGCCGTGTGGGAGACAGCACCCATCGCCAAGGGCAGCCCCATGCACACAGACTCCTCCTGCGAGCCCGCAGCCCTTTGACAGCCGGGACCAGAGGATGCTCACTCATCTTCAGCCGCCCCCCAGTTCGGTCCCGCCCCGCCCCCTTGCGCTCCTCCGGCCTCCTCCTACCTGAGCCGTTCGGCAGCGGAGCTGAGCGGCCGTGCGGAGCCTTGCAGCGGGTGGCTCCGCGGTTCCCGTGCAGCCGGGAGGAACACGCAGCAGTCCCCGGCCCGGCCGCACTCCCCGGCGCCGTGGCGGGCCCTCGTGGCTTTGCCCCGCCGTCGTGGTGGTGTGGTGCTTCCTTGTTGGCTCCGGTGCCAGGAATGCAGTATGAATTTATTTAGCAGTCCTTAATAAATACATGTCAATATATGTCCCCGTGTACCCCTCGGCCCCCTACGGGCTCCGGGACCGGGGAGTCCTCGGGAAGCTCAGGTCTCCGCCCGGCCACTTAGCCCCGTGCCCGGTGCCCGGTGCCGCGCGTTGCCCCACGCCGATAGTCCTCGATGCTTCCGGACAACTGTCGGCTCGATGCCGAGGCCCTGCAGCTTCCAACGGCCCCTGACCCCGGGATTTCCCTGCGCAGCCCGGCGGAGCTTCCTGGCCCTACCGGCAGCCCCGGGACACACGATGGAACGGCACCGGGCCCTCTCCCGGCGCGGAGATCTCCGTGCCCCCGCTGTCGGGAGCCGCCCTATCGGGCCGGGCTCCGCCAGAAGCCGCTGAGCGGCAGAACGCGAGCGGAGCCCCGGCACCCGCTTGGTCACAAACCGTTTCGCTCTCCGATGACCGCGCGCCCGATGGGGCGGGGAGGGGGAGCCACGGTACCGAGGTACCGGTCCGGCGCGGCCCGGCTGTCCGGCGCGGGTTCAGAGCCGAGATTTTGTTTTCCGCATTTCCCCGCCCGCCGGAGGCCAGCTCTGAGCCTCCCGGTACCCCCCGCTCCCGGAGCGCCGGCCCCGTCCCCCCCGGGGTTCAGCCCCCACCATCCCCGGGAATCAATGCGGCCCCGCGAGCCGCAGCTGTTCGGTCCTGCTGGGTTCCGGCAGCGCCGCCGCGGGGGGAAGGAGCATCGGGAGCGCTCGTGGCGACAAAACGAATTTCCATGGGAAGACGCGAAGCGCTTCGCGCGCAGCGGGATTCCGCTCGCCCGATGAGCTCCGCTCCACGGGCCGGGAGCCCGAAGAACGGCCGTCCCGTTCCGCTCGGGATGACTGAGGGACGCTTTCCGTGTCTCGGCCCCGGCGAGGGGCGGCCGTCTGGTTCCCTCCACGTAGACTCGTCCTTTCGATGTTTTCCGAAAAAAGACTCCTCGCGGCCGCCCGAAACATCGAAACTGCGATTCTTCGTGGGAAAGAAACAGATGGCAGCGCCCGGGACGGGACCGGGGCCCGGCTGCGGACGTGCGCGAAGCCACGGCCGTGCCCGCCCGCTCCGCCGCCCGTTGGGGCCGGGGGCCGCTGCAGTCGCGTGTTCCCTTCGGCGGTCGCTCCACGCAGACTGCGGGAGCGGCGTCCCCGAGCAGCCGTGCGGGGCGGGCGGGGACCGCGCCGGAGGGGGCCGGAGCCGCGCGTCCCTCTCCAGCCTGCCCGCGACGGGCCGGCAGCGGGCTGCCAGCGGGGACTTAGGGAGCCGCCGAGGCTGGCGGGAGGGCAACGGGGTCGGGAGCGGATGAGAGGTCCGCCCGGAGGGCGGCGCGGTACGGTACAGCACGGCACGGCGCTGAACGGCGCGGCGCGGCGCGGTACAGCACAGCGCGGCGCGGCACAGCACGGCGCGGCGCGGCACGGAGCGGCACCGCCCGGCCCTGCCCCGCCCCGCCCGGCCCGGCCCGGCCCGGCTCGGCGCGCGGTGCGGCCGCCCGTCGGCGCGGCGCTGCTGCCCGCACGGCGGGGCGGCCGGCGGCGGGGCCGCTCTCTGCCGCCTCCCGCGCCCTCTCCTCGCTCCCGCAGATCTCGCGAGAGCGGCCGGCTGGTGGCCGCGGGGGCTGTTGCAGCAGCGGCGGCGGCGGCGGGCGGAGCGGCGGCGGCGCGGGCGGCGGCCGGGGCGGCCGAGGCGGCGGCGCGGGCGGCGGCGCGGGGGCGCCGGGCGAGCGGCGGCGGAGCGGCGGCCGAGGCGGCGCGGCCGGGCGGCGGCGGCGGCGGCGGCGGGCGGAGCGGCGGCATCATGGCGGACAGAGACAGCGGCAGCGAGCAGGGCGGCGGCGGCGGCGGCGGCGGCGGCGGCGGCGGCGGGGGCGCGGCGGGCGCCGGGGGGCCGGGCTCGGGCGGCGGCGGCGGCGGGCCGGGCGGCGGGCTGCAGCACGAGACGCAGGAGCTGGCCTCCAAGCGGGTGGACATCCAGAACAAGCGCTTCTACCTGGACGTGAAGCAGAACGCCAAGGGCCGCTTCCTGAAGATCGCCGAGGTGGGCGCCGGCGGCAACAAGAGCCGCCTAACGCTCTCCATGTCGGTGGCGGTGGAGTTCCGCGACTACCTGGGCGACTTCATCGAGCACTACGCGCAGCTGGGGCCCAGCCAGCCCCCCGAGTTGGCGCAGGCGGCCGACGAGCCGCGCCGGGCGCTCAAGAGCGAGTTCCTGGTGCGGGAGAACCGCAAGTACTACATGGATCTGAAGGAGAACCAGCGCGGGCGCTTCCTGCGCGTCCGCCAGACCGTCAACCGCGGCCCGGGGCTGGGCGCCGCGCAGGGCCAGACCATCGCGCTGCCGGCGCAGGGCCTGATCGAGTTCCGCGACGCGCTGGCCAAGCTCATCGACGACTACGGCGTGGAGGAGGAGCCGGCCGAGCTGCCCGAGGGCACCTCCTTGACTGTGGACAACAAGCGCTTCTTCTTCGACGTGGGCTCCAACAAGTACGGCGTCTTCATGCGGGTGAGCGAGGTGAAGCCCACCTACCGCAACTCCATCACCGTCCCCTACAAGGTCTGGGCCAAGTTCGGCCACACCTTCTGCAAGTACTCGGACGAGATGAAGAAGATCCAGGAGAAGCAGCGGGACAAGCGCGCCGCCGCCGCCGCCCCCGCGGGCTCCGGGGCCGGGCCCGAGCCGCCGCCCGAGGCCGAGGGCAGCGCGGCCGCCGCCGCCGCCGCCGCCGCCGCCGCCGCCGCCGCCGGGCCGCCCGGCGCCCTGCTGCAGGCCGACGAGCCCGAGGAGGACTGACCGCCCGCCGGCCGCCCCGCCCGGCGCCGGGGCCGCGGACTCGGACTGCTCTCGGCCGCGCGGGCGGCGGGCGGCGGCCCGCGGCCGTCCCCGGGCGGCACCCCCGGAGCACCCCCCGCCCGGCAGCCTCCACCGAGCGACAGCAACGCCTCCGACCCGCCACCCATCGCTGGATGTCCCTCCACTTTTCCCACCGTATCAAACAGTAAGCAGCTGCTAAAACAAACAAACAAACAAACAAACAAAACAAAAAGTCAAAAAAAAGTAATAACATTATATATGAACTGTGTTTCCTACTTGATTAAAAATATAAAGAACTGAGTGTTTATTTCCCTAATTAACCGAGAACTTTTGTACACGTTTAAGCTATTATTATTAAAAGTGTTTGCAAAAATGGTCAAGATTATAATATTGCTGAATTATATAAAAAGTCCTTTTCATGTTGAGCTAACATTTGACTTTAGCACAAAAAAAGAGAGATATTTTAGAACACGTAAAATAATATTTTTAGTTTTTTCTTCTCATTTTGTTACCAAATTTCGAACCTTACATGGAGGTTACTATAGTATATTTGACACCCTATATACCTGTGATTAGAGATGTGTATATATATATGAGGGCTAGGCATGCTGTGTGTCTGAGCTTTGTCTAAATGTTATGCAGAAGTTTGTAGAGTTACAAGGTACGTAGGTTTAATTCATGCAAGGTAAACAATAAGTGCTCTCTTTTATACGATATGCATTGCATCTGGACCTTCGACATATAAAAATGGTCAGTGAAACTTCTGTGAACATGAAGAAAAATTATTAAAAAAGGCATTTAAATGAAATTTGCTAACTTGTGATTTTTACGTTGGAACCAAAGTTATTCAAATAGTAAAAATTAAAAAAAAAAAAAAAAAAAAAAAAAAAAAGAAAAGAAAAGAAAAAAAGAGAGATAGAGAGAGAAAAAAGTAAAGGATTTCCACCCATAATATTTTTCTGCACCTGTTTGGTTTACAGCTCCGTAGGCGTACTGTCATTGTTGTGTATACGAGATGTTCATGTATTGTTCATAATCTGTTGGTTCTTTTCTTTATTCTGTGTACTTTGAGCACTCAGGCGCTGCTCGGGGCCGGGCGGTGCAGTGCGGTGCGGTGCGGTGCGGTGCTGTGCGGTGCTTGCAGTGCTGCGGGCTGTGCTGTGCCATGCCGTGCGGTGCGGTGCCGTGCGGTGCGGTGCTGTGTCGTGCCGTGCCGTGCTGTGCCGCCGTGCCCCACCAGCCCAGCGCCCGGGCCGAGTTCTGAACTGAGATAATTTGTAATAATAGACTTTTACAGGTGGATTTTTGTTTTCTTTTTTCTTTTTTCTTTTTTCTTTTTTTCTTTTTTAAAGTTGGTGTGCTTTTAATTGACTAACTTCTTGCTGCTGTATAGTAAAATATTAATATATTTTTATCATTAAACTGCTGCATGACTATCATCGTGACGAGTGAAGAAAAGATGTTATAAACAAAAGATGCCTTAAGCAGTACAACTGTAGTCGTTGGCCGGAGCTCGGCGGGCGGCGTTGGGCCGTGCCCCGCGCGGGGGGGCACAAGGGAGAGCGGAGCTCGGTGAGAGGAGTTTGTTTTCTGCTGTCTGCTATTTCTATTGAAAATTATAATTCCTTCCTCCTCCTCCCCCCCCCCCCCCCCGCCCCCCGTCTTTGTTTTGGAGATGTACTGTGAGTGTCAGAGCTGTTCCCCGTCGTGCCGTGCCCTCCCCGTCGGTGTTCGCAGTTATCGATGAGGCGTCGAGTGTTGGGCGTTTCTGTTTCTTTAACAATCACTGGAAATGTCGAAAATGGCTTTCATGTGCACTTTCCTATTTTTGAGCAGTGAAATAAGCTTTCCGAGCTCATAATGTGACATTCGGAACGGTTCTCAACGGCGTGTCGGCATCGTCAGGCGGTGCCGTTCGGGCTCTCCCGCTGCGTTCCTTCCCGCTGTTAAGGTGCTGCGTGCTGGGCGGGGTGCTCCGTCTCCGACCCCCGACGGCCCCGCTGGGCCGCAAGAGGCTGCCCGCAGCCCGGCCTTCAAACCCCGACCTCGGCCCGGCTGCGGTGCCGGCGGCCGTAGGGGAGCGGAGCCGGAGCGCTCCGTCCGTCCGTCCGTCCGTCCGTGCCTCCTTCGGGCTTTGCTGGCGTGTTGGTCTTTGGTTTTTGTTGTCCCCTTCCTCCTAGGACTTGGTAAATGACGATAATGAGAGAGTAAAGGACTCTAAAGGTTCGTGGGATTTGGGCTTGCTTTGGGTTGCTTTTGCTTTTCTGGTTTTGTTTTGGTTCTTTTTTTTTTTTTTAATCAGTTCCCGGAGGTGCTCGGTGCCTTACCACGGCTCCGATGTCTCAGTATGTAAAACAAAGTGCAGAAAGCTCAGTTCGGTGCAGGAGAAGCGAGGTATATTTGACCATATCTGTTGTTTCTCAAAAGAACAGTGTGCTCAAATGTGCCAAGGTCCCCAATTCCTGAGCAGCATGCCTTATTTTCCTCGGTGACGTGCTTTTAAATGTCTTGTAGGATAGGTCCAAGAGCACGATAGAACTGCTTTGTAACGACTGCAAGAAAACTTGAAATGCGTTGCAATACTGACATTGCTTTGTTCCTGAGTTAAAGGGACGCTGTGAAGTAATTGACCGCTAAAATGCGACCTCCCTGTAAGTGGTTCTACACTAACGGAGAATTGTCCTCCGAAGTAAAAATCAATTCTTTTTGTTGTTAAAAAAATAAAAATAAAAAAAAAATAAAAAAAAAAAAAGAAAGAAAGAAAAGAAAAGGAAAAGAAAACAAAATAGAACAGCTCTGTCTCTGAGAAGTTAAATAAAAACCCAGACAAAAAGCACCAGCCGCTCTTGGTCCTGCCTCTTTCTTTTGCGCTTCGGCTCGCGGCCGGGAGGTGCCGGGCGACGCTCGGTTCACGTCCAGCCCTGCTCCGCCCGGCCCCGCTCGCCTTTCCTCTCCGCTTTCCCCGCTCCCCGATCTCTGCCGGCCCGGACGGCGGATGCCGTTGGTGGCAGTGCGGGGCCCGGCCGGTTGCGGGGAGCCTCTCGGAGCCCCGCGAGGGCGGCTTCTGGTGAGTGGCTCCTTTGTTGCCTTTGGAATCGCACTGTAACCACCTTTTTTTTTCTTTTTCTTTTTCTTTTTCTTTTTTTTTTTTTTTTTTATGATTACCTGCAGTGTGACCTTTGTCCCTTCGAACTATGCAAGCTCTTAAATGTAAACGAGGGATCGGGGGGGGCGGCCGGTGCCGTTGGGTCGGATGGCGGTGGTGCTCTAACCGGAACACCGAGCGATAAGGCGCGGTTTGCGCGCTGCGCGCAGGCGGAACGCAGCTCCGTGTTCTGGCAGCGGTGTTAATGTCACGTAACGGGACTGCGGGGCCGGGAGGGGATCTCTTCTTAAAAGGGGATTTAAGGTTTTTGTAACTGGTTTTTGTTGTTTTATTTTGTTCCATCAAACTCTAATATTATTGTCAAATTTTTTAGGCGTTTAATTTGTAAAAATAGATTTTGCTTTGTATTGGCGTCCAGAAAATAGGGATTGACTTAAAATTTCTGAAGCCAAGCGATCAAGTACCTTTGTAATAAAAAGTCACTGGATCTGTACCAGCCGTACCGACTGTTTTCATTCCGTGTGCGCGGCCGGGCAGAGCCGCCTCCCCGAGGAGCAGCGGGGGCAAGAGCGGCGCAGGGCAGCGCGGTGCGTCGGTGCGGCTCCGCGCCGCTCGGCGGAGATCCGGTTGATCCGCGGATCCGCTGAAAGCAGCCACGCTTTTTCTTTACGGTTTGTGAAAACATCAAGCCTGGGGTACGTCCTCACTCCACGCTTCTCCCACCTCGATTTCACTCAGTGCCCCAAAACGCTAAAATCGTATTTGGGGAGTTTGGTTACCGGCATTTAGAACGAAACTCCGCTCTCTGTTGAGGTGAAGTGCTGCACTTTACATCTTCGCAGCCCTTGCCTTCTCCAGGCTCTGTCTCTTTCCCCTCTTCTCCAAGTTGAATGGATAAAACCTTTTTTTCCCCTTATTTTTTCCTTTTTTTTTTTTCTTTTTTCTTTTTTCTTTTTTTTTTTCCTTTTTTCTTTTTAAGTGGAATTGCTGTATGCTTTGGATCAAAGACTTCAGAGGATCCACTGCGTTTGGATCCCACACCTTGGCACCGACGCAGTTTGTTTCTTTTTTTTACTTAAAATCCTGACTTCCCGTTGCTCTGAAGGGTGCAGACACAATCGGGCGGCCTCGGCTGTTCCCAGGCTTTGGAGCTGGAAGTGGAAATCCTGATATGAACGTACAAGAACTGCGGGGAATGCTTGTGGGAAATTCAAAGTGCAACCAGAACCAGCCAACCTCGTAGCTTTGCTATTCTGACGTGCTGAAAACAGCCTCCGTTTCTCGTAGGTGAGCTGGAAGTCAGAGGGCAGAAGCAAATTGCCACCTGACTGCTCTTTTTGCTCCTTCAAAACCCTTTTGCTCCCTCCTGGCTTGGACCGTTTGATCAAAGGTCTCACCTGCCCCCAAAAGATGACAAGTTTCCCTGCTAAAAGGACTCTGTCAAGATTTATTTTTAATTGCAATTTTAAAATCCTGATTTGTACCTTTTTACTTCTTCCCCTTTGTTTGCTTTTCTGTCAGGCTTACCCAGACTTTCCTCTTCTTCTCTTCCGATCCTCCTCTGCTGCCTTCCCTCTGTCTCTGCAGAAATGTAGCTGCGGGCCGCGGCTCTGCTATTGCTTGGTTCTTACAGGGAGCCCCGCGCCAGGCTTTGCACTTCGTGCACATCCCTTCTCTCACCGAAAGTTTTGTTCTCTCGGTTTTGTTCTCTGACGTGCAAGGATGGGTGGAAGGATCAGAACTTTGGGTGGCAGAACGGAGGAGCTGGCTGCACGCGAAGTCCTGTCAGAATGTTTTGACACAAGTGACAAGGTAAACAAGCTGCTTCCATTTTTACCTCGAGTCCCGAAGCTGGCACAATCTCCTGTGCCTCTTGTAACAATGAGAGATAATTTCAGCCCAGAGCATTTTTTCGAGCCGACGGTTCCTTTCCTCTGGTTCCTTTCACATGAGTTAGCTCTCTGGCACCGCAAACTGTTGTGCGTGGGCTGTGAACGTGGCAAGGAAAGGTGTATATATAGTTTTCAACTAGTTAAGGCTAATCCAATGAACTCTCCAAACGGTGACATTTCTGAAAA